TCTACATTGCGTTAACTGTACAAACAAAGGCAAAAATTATCTAAAAAGTTTGAAGTACGTATATTTCATACATTCATGTATTGCCTTTTAAGGAAGTCCGATACTCAGGTTCTAAAAATAAAGTTATTGAAAATGTTCACAAAATGTCTCTGATTTTACGAAGAAACGTAAATTTACCCATATTATTCAAAATTTCTTGAAAGTTTATCATAATAGTTCAGCATAGGATATAAGAAAAAATATAAAATTTAAAATATATTTTCGAGAATTGCGAATTAATGCACAACCTAGGTATTTTCTAATTGATCATTGATAAACAAAAATGTTTAAGAAAATATATAGATATTCATACATTTGGAGAAAATTGCAACAACTTTCAAAACAGACATTTTTCTTTTAATTGCAAGAATGATCAACATCTTATCTACAACTTTACTTAATTACAATTAATTAAAGTATGTACAATATACGAATCTGTTTTCTAAGGCGGGGGATATCACAAATTCTTCAATCTCCGTACGATAATGATAATGAGGACGCCCAATTTTTTACTGACTTTATACAAAGTCAGCGCATGTTTGTCTATTAGGGTGAATTCACCATGCATCGGATACCCTTGTACTTCAACAAGTTCTAGCGATATCGCTACCGACGGAAAATTATCAAAATGGAGTTTAACATTTAGTTTGTGATTAAAACAACAATTTAGGACACAATTATATGCCGTTTTATTGAGAAAATATCCCCAAAAATCGAGTTTTTAGGAAAAACGGAAAATTCACCATGGATCGGACAATGTTCACCATGCATCGGACAGACAGTATGGAGACCGGGAAAATATCATACCTTTATCACAGTGCTTTAAAATCCTTGATATGGATATATTTTCATCTTTTATCTAAGAAATAACCCTCAACTTTAATTTAATCGACAATATTATTGCACAAATGTAGAACGATTCTAGAGACCCCACTCTGCCTTAGAAATGCATTAAAATGCTTATAATGCCGTTGTTGTATAGTAGTTTTTCCCCCATAGTAGCTTTTCCCCCCGGAAAACTGGCTATATAGTAGTTTTTCCCCCTAGGGAGAAAAGCTACTACATAGCAGATTTTCCCCCATAGTAGGGTTTCCCCCTAACGTTTTTGGTTTAGATTTTTGAAAATTGTTTATGGAAAGCTGATTAGGCTTTAAATCGATGTTTTGAACAGTGACTGAAGTACGTTACATATATGTACTTGCATACATTAATGAACGAAAAAGTGTTTATTGTCAACTGTATAAACGTAAAGAATTTATCATACAGGCAATTCATCGAACTATTTGGATACTATATTTAAAACTTAAATTATACAACGTACATGAATTATATATTTCAAATACATGTATACACGTGCTATGAATTTAAGGACTTTTTTTCCCTTTTTTAACTAAATTTAATTTTTTATGTGAAACAAAATCTTCTGACATTGTCTTTGTTATAAACATGTGTCAGCCAAAAGATCCATAGTGCACGCTGATAGCGAACGCGCTTATAATGAATATTGACGCTTACAGCAAAGTGATTTTAATTCCCAATGACTTTAAAATATATTGTAATCATAACAGATATAACGAATTACGGTTATAACAAAGCAAAATCCTTCATCCCTGGCACTTTGTTATAAGCGTGTCTTACCGAACTTTTATGTTGTAAGATGCCATATTAAATTCAATAAAAAAAACGTGTAAAATAGAAAGGAATAGTTAGTGCCAATTTTATTACATTTAACTTTAAAGATTAAGCTTTTTTATTGTATTTACAATATATTTCTTCAGTAAACACACTGTCCCCCCCACCCCGCCCTTTCATTGTTTTCCGTTGAATTTTATAAATATAAAAGAAACAATCCTACGCAAGAGGAATCTTATTTGGAACGTTACATATTTTTTCGTAGAGGATATTCAATGTTGGTGGTTGGATATTGAATTTATTTCACGTCTAGTGGGACAAGATTTTTTTATATTATTTCACAAGTGAAATATAATACAAAAGTTCTGTCCCACTCGTGAAAACAATTTCCTTATCGTAATGGATTGATTTCATAACAAAAAGAAATGTCAGTCTACTTAATTACGTGTCCGTGATAATCAATGTCTTTTCAAATACGCATGTATTGCGAATTATTACAAAGAATGGTCCTCCATAAACTTAACCGGAATGAAAAAAAGGGGGAAAATCTACTATATAGTAGGTTTTCCCTGGGGGTAATCTGGCTATAAAAGAGGGGAAATCCCACTATATAGCCATCTTTCCATGGGGGAAAATCTACTATATAGCCATTTTCCCGGGGGGAAAAACTACTATATAGCCATGTTTCCGGGGGGAAAGATGGCTAGGGGGAAAGGCTACTATACAACACCGTAATTCGCGCCTTTTTCTCATGGTTTATCATACTCTGGTTTGTAGAAATAAATTGAGTAAAATTCGAGGCGTCATATATCGGTAACTTGTATTTTGACTGAAAATATAGAGTTTTTATTTTCTTTTTCCGCAAAAAACAGCTGTCAGCTGGGTTCTGTATGAAAATGGTAGTGCTTACCTTTGCATCGAAAAGTTTCCGATGCATGGTTAATTTGTGTCCGATGTACGGTGAAATTAGCATACTAGTAAAAACCAGCTCTAATAAGAATTAAACAAACATTGAAGTGAAATTTCTTTATAATTTATGTAAAATTACCAATCCCTGACAAAATTCACCAAAGTCCGACTCGTTCCGTGGAAGTCGAATTTAAAAGAACGGTAACTCTAAAAATTGCAAAATCATAAATTTCGGGTTATTCCCCTTTGATGATGTAAAATATGACGTAACTTCAAGGCCATTTGCGGGGTATTTTTATCACAACATGATAAACACAATCGGTATCATTAAAAAATTTAAATCTTCGTCTTTATGACAGAAACAAATAAATACACAGAACTCTAAAGTTGAAAGAGAGTTTATTGCCTAAAGTTGTCCGAAGCAAGGTATGTGTCCGATGCATGGTGAACTCACCCTATTCTTTTTTTAACATTAGTTGTACTAGTATAATTGCACTAGAAATGCTGTGTTAAAAGGAGATTAATAGACAAACATGCGCTCATGATTTAAAAAGAGAAAAAAAACTGCTTCTTCTTACACTTGCTCTCTCTCTCTCTCTCTCTCTCTCTCTCTCTCTTGTAACCATGGGTTGTGACACGCTGAATATTATAATTCGCCACGTGATATCTTTCCTCGGGTTATTTTGTGAATACTAAATACTAAATTTTATATATATATATATATATATATATATATATATATATATATATATATATATATATATTTTTTTTTTTTTTTTTTTTTTTTTTTTTGAGCGTGGTAAAGACCATTTTACAACTTAACTTAATGAAAATTTAACCTGAATCCGTGTTTTATGCCCTCTTCATATTTTGTGTTGTTTATTTTTTCCGATTGATAACTGTTCGTTATCTTCACCTTTTTCATTTTATAATTATACAGTATTTTAGTTCTTATATTTACTTCTATTGCTATGCAACCGTTATTTTAAAAACCCTGTACAATCATTGTTAGATATCTCATATCACATCTAATTTCTTGTCAAGCTGATACATAAGCATTAGTTCTAAAGCTAAATTAAAGAAAGGAAATTTCTTTAAAAATATATTTTAAAAATCTTTTATGGGTACATATGCTAGCTTCTTACAAGGACTTTTTGAATTAAAAAAAATATATAAATTACCATCCCCAGATAAACTATAAAATCACTTTTTTTGTTTTTGTTTTTCCTTTATTTTTTTTCTTTAACTTTAGTGTGAAAAATTTTACGATTAATTACATTTTTTTATTTCTTTAATCTCAAGTTTAAACAAAAATCATTGTTTTTGAGTAATATAGTGTATATTCTTGTGTAAATCAAACAGAATTCATACTTCGAGAAGTTCCGGTAGCTTTTTTCATTTTTTAAATTACATAAGATACATATACTTTTACAGATTAAAAATCATGAAAAAATTGAGCTTAGAATATATATGATCAATGAGCGTCTTATCCTTACCAATAAAATTGCGATTTGGATCATCTGAACACCTAAACACTTCGTATTATTTGGAAAGAGATAAGTGTTCTACCAATATTTTTAAAGATAATGTGTAATTCAAACTGAGATAAAGGGGCAGAATATGATCTACCTTTAAAGCTTTACTCCATATTACATTTTAAAATGAAAATGTTCGTTGGATCATTATTTCTGTTAGTTTTAAGCCCCGTTATTTATGGCTACTGGTACTTTCAACCTCGCTATACGGGCTCCTTGCAGGAGGGAGAGTAAGTTTTTATCAAATTTAAGGAAAACATGTTTTAATACAGAGTGAATACTTAACTAGATGAACATCTTTTGCTTTTAACTTATTTACAGGGTAAATGTGGTGAGATACTATCAATCATACAGGGACTCGTATTACGTAAGTTGTCATTTCTGGGGCATGAGCAGATGCACAAGATACAGGTATGGATTTAATTTTAATAATCAGTGCAAGTCGTCCCATAATAATGTCAGCTAAATTTTCCTTACATTTTTACATAATTTATTTAAATATATACATTTGTTAGAGGTGCCTCTGCAATTGATTTGCTTGATTGTTTGTGTATATGTTTTTTACGTCCCATACGAGAATTTTTCATTTATATACAGACCAGAGTTAACATATACCAATGAAGGTTTTCAAATTTTTTCGGCACTTAGGACCATTGAGCAGTGAGGTTTCTTTAACGTGCCAACGCATAGCTTGTGAGAAGACATCAGTTTTTTGCGCCTCATCCGAAAATCATATATTTACTTACATTCAGTACCATGATCTGATCCTCTTGTCTTTTTGAATAGTGATTGCTAATACAACTTTTACTAATACAAATATTAATAATTAACATTATCCATCTGTAAACTTATCTAAGTTGCTTTGTAATAAATTGAGAAAAAAATATGGCTGAAATGAGGCCGTTTAGCAGTAGAAGACCTAAGACATCAATCATTCTAACACTTACGTAATATCTTTATATAATTGGGCTTAAACTGTTAATAATTGAATAAATAAATAATTGAAAATATCTGAGATTGAATTTCAATTAATAAATTCATATGCAGTCTCTGAAGATATTCATGTTTTATGTATTTATTTCATTAATACTTTTTTTCGGGGATTAAACATTTAAAAAGTTAATGCCATTTACAATCAATATATGAAAGTTTGTTTTGAGGATTTCCAATTGCTACAAAGATTTTGTAGCAATAATCTGACATCAACTTTCTTGCAACAGCTTGACCAAATTTCACCGGCATTCGTATGCATGTACCGGTATATTTTTTTAGACTGTCGGTCTTATATGAAGACAATTTATACTTTTAATCCCAAAAATATAAGTTTGCTCAATACTAGGTAACATTTCCAATGTTTAGAATATTAACTTTGTCATTTATATCTTAAAACGGGACAGGAGAATATGATAGATCTGGTATATCTCTCAGGTTTTCATTTTTTAACAGCACAGAATATTATCCTAGCCTTCGATGTAGCGCAGGTTATAGAAGTTACTCTGATTATCCCAGGGCGTGCAAAAATGGTCAGTTGATAAAAAAAATATTTCAATGAAAATATAGTTTAATAATATTTTATATTTTATGAATTAAAAAAAAACTTTAAATGTTTGAATGTTTTTGTATATAGCGATATGCAACGGCCAAATAACAAAAACTGGAGCTTGCTCTGGCTCAGTGCGGATCTTAACGAGAAAAGGAGTATACAAAACTGAGAGCAGTCAAGGTGAATGTGTCTCACCAGAAAAGTGTACCTGCAAGTCTAATAACTTCTATGACGATGGCCCAGTCTGCAAAGGTAAAAAGCTTTAAATACATGCAAGATAGAAATAAAAGGGGTTTTACTAAATATCAATTTACCGTAAAATGTAGAGATACAACGCAATTACAAAACAAAGTTCTAATGATAAAATATTTTTAAAAAGTTTGCTGAAAAATAAGGGATAGGAAAAACGCTTGCACTCAATTTCATGCCAAGGTTTTGTCAGAGGTAGAACTCTCGCCCTACAGAATCTGTCAGGTAGCAGAACAAGAACAGCGCGCTAAACCGTTTGGTTAGAAGTTTAAAAAAAACTTGCTTTCGGAATTCTTGCGGTGCTGTCTCACACTTTACACGGCAATTGGGAATGAAAGTGGGATAATACAGTGTTTTGGGCACTGGTTTTATTAGAGGATCGTTATTACATTGAAATTAATTAATTTTTATCTTCAAAGCAAATTTTGCAAAAAACTCGAAAACGAGAATACCATCGGCATCGTAAGTTTGTTGATGTTCCTAGATGGCCGAGCGGTCTAGAGAACTGTTCCTGTGTTACTTAGAGACAGAGTGCTGTGTAACATATGTCCATTGACATCGCGGTAACGACAGTGACTTCATGTATAAATATGCGGCTTTATTAATATATTCGATCAGTGCATACTATTTATGCAAGATATATTACTGTATTCAGCGGCGGCTCACACAAATTGGTCCGACCAAAATAGTTCCATCATGATAAGTAGATACAACATTATTGTTCATGATAAGAGTAAAGTTGTGTATGTCATACGTTAAAGAAATCAAAAATAACGTCAAAATATTATTAGAAAGTCGCTTTCCCCCCGAAATGCAAATAAAAAATATCAATATTCCTACGCTCGCTCCCTCCTCAGCCTTTTTTTTTTTACATGTTTGATAACAGAGAATAATTAGGTCATTCTTCGATTCATATCTTTTCACCGATGAATTGATAATACTATATCAACATTTGTATTATGTACATGTCTATAGTCCGTTAATTATCATAAAATTTCTTCTTAAAGAAAAAATTAATCATTCTGTGTGTGTGTATTATTAAATAACGGAATTTTCAATCCCTGGCCGGATTCTGCTCGTGTGTACACTTTGTAAACTGTAGGGTATGTGTGGCAAAACGAGAACTGGGTTGGAGATTCGGGTTCGTGTTGAAGTTCAGCATGCCATTTTATATGGAACTTGAATAATGTAAGTAATTTCTGCGACGAATACATTAGTATATTTCAGTAATTTTCAAAACAAAAAAGGTTTTCAGTTTAGAATTTTCCGACCCGGTCCTGATTTTCCTAACCCGGCCATTTTAAACACAAGTTGTTGCAGATGCAAATGTTAGAACAAACTATATATAGTTCAACAGGGATTGTATAATTTTTATTAATCAGAATTCGTATTCATATGGTCTAATTAAGAAAAGAAAAGTTTTGTCTGCCATCGTAACTTCTCGGCAAAACAAAACGTGTTTCTCCGAGCTCGCTGGATGCGTATGACAGCTCCATCGCACGTGTGTAGACCAAGGCTAATGTTGGTCTTGCGGACACAGGTACATGTAGGCCTATATGTGTACTGTTTGTTAGGAGACTGGGTGACCGTAATGCTATGGACTCACGAAATTTACAACAGTTCCGTAATTAGACAGTGCAGTTTTTTTATTAACGTCATTATAAACACTGTTAAACATATTAAATATCTTTGGATATGGGGTAACCCATATCTATTCTTGTATACCGGCCCTCAAATAGCGAGTGAACAATCGAAGATGGATGACAAATTTCTTTTACTTATCGTCTTCAGCTACTGGAGTTGTTGTAAAATGTTCTCTATAAATGTATTTATATATTTCATTCACAGAACTAAATGATATGAATCTTTTTTAATGATAGAATGTCCAGCAATTCCACATTGTCATGAATCTCAGTGTACAAAGGTTGCAGACAATATATGTGTGTACTGTGATGGAGAAGTGGAAGACCGGGAATTCTTCAGAGCCTACACAAGGAAACCCAGCAATGGGGAACTATGTGAAAGTATTTCTTATTTTACCATATCAAATTTTTTGTGAAACTTGATTTAAATATTTCTGGTTGATTTACCAAAAGCCGTATGAGATCATTTATGAATAGATTAAACAAATATTGAACTCTTTAAAACGAGACAATTGTTATATTATACGGAGTTAGCTTTCTTATTACAATGTAGTAGAAACTAAATCGTTTAAAGACACGTATCTTTTAAAATAAATTTAATTCTAACATATAGCGTAACAGACTTTCAGAAACATTCTTTTTTAGAGGCTTGTTCCTGGAGATCAGACAGTACACGTTGTTTTCCTGGAAGATGTGACAAAGAATTGGCTTCAAACTGTAAATGCATTAAAGGCTTTGCTGGTCATCATTGTGAGATAAGTATGTTACTTTATTGTGTACATTTAATTTCATGTAATTTATACAACATTCAGTTAAATCTTACCTTCATTAAGCCGAACAAGAGTAGAGAGTGATTTTAGCATGTGGCATGTATGTTTTTTTACTTAAAAATGATACCGTTACATAACCTTCAAAGAATTAATTGAAATTAATTAATGTATACTTTACTAAGCCACTGTTCATATTCTGAGTACAAAATACGCAGTGATAATGCCTTGACCCAAGGCTATACGTTAAAATATTCAGGGTACTGGGATGCGATCTATTCAATAAAGCTGGAAGCCTAAAACAATAAGTTCGGTCTTAATTATCAAAGACCACACTATTTTAAAGTAAAGGGCAACAGAACATTGAGATGTTCAACCCCTTGACTGCTTTGGAATGAATTGAAACTTGAACATACTTCAAACAATATCAATTCAGAAAATTGAATGTATTGAACATGCAATGCCTGTATCCAGTAAATACGTCATGTTTAGATATATACTATGTACAGTGAACTGAATTTGATATGGATGAGATAACATTTCAAGAAATAGGAAATAAACCACTGGGAAATAATACTTTTTTTTATAATCATACTTTCAGTGCAAGATTATGCCACTATCTCATACAGCCTCTGTACTCTACAAATGGACGACATTTATAAGCTAGACAACCCAAAGAACCCGAATTCTTTAAACTCTACAGAAATTATTTGGACCAAGGAAACATACTGGAAAACAGCAAAGACCAAGTGGGATGCGTTGTATGTTCTGCAAGAATCCATTGACAAAAAAGAAGATCATTATGTAAAAGACTTTAAATATGGCCTCGTACACGCACGTTCCACTTTGCAATATATATCGGGAACACTTGATATAGAAGGAAACGAGACTGACTACAACATCATTAATCTGGAATACGAATGTCCAGGACCAAGCAACGATGATCCAATTTCGTCGTCTTTCACATGTGAAAATACTTTTCAGCTGGAAAACATAATGTCATTTCAGCACAACGACACGTAATGATAATATGCATTATTATATACGAACATATCAAAGTAGAAACATGATCATTAACTAAAATTTTACATGTATTTGAAAAATAATTAATTTGTACTGAAACAAAACCTTACAAACTAACATTTGATTTCTTGCTTATGACATACATCTTATCGCATTTCAACAATAACATATATTACAAATATTTCATAATGGTATTGTATGGCGACTTTATAGACTGCATATTTTTATATTACAATATTATAATAATAATTACCAGTATAAAGTTTGCCCCAACTCAAAATCAATATGTTTCCCTAATTTACTGAGATCATGGATATTGTGAACACTCAATCAATGCACAAATTTAAAACAGATGGTTACTGCTAGTATTACAATCTCTGACATTTATTGTTTACGAAGCTATTTTTTTTAACAGGTTGCTTTTTAAAATACATGCTTCAATTGGTGGCCATGTTATAATACTTAACCGAGAGCAAAAAGACAAAGAAGAGCGACATAACTTTCAGGGAACAACAAAAGAACTTATTTTTACTTACCGATGGGACACAGAATTACCCTATCACTGTATACAAGAAATCAACAAAACAGACTGTCCAGATTTTTTAACTGTACTAGACCTGACAGAAAATGTAAATACTCTTTCTTTCGTTCAAGAGACATAATGTTTTCTATAAAACAGAATAATTCTTCCAATCGCTTGCAAATGTAATGAAATTGGCATCATGATTGTTTGAATGTTTTTATCTTAAATTGTTGTTAATATTTGGATTTTTTTTATGAAGCCTACCTTTATGGCATCTTGGGATGGATGGACTGATGATCTTGCAGGTCTACACATATACGAATATGAAGTCTACGAATTAATCACTTTACATTCCACTTTACAAGAAGTGTCTCTTGTAAAAACAGGAAATATATCACAAGTTTATGATTCTGTAAGTATATCTACTAGTATAAACAAAGAGAGAGAGAGAGAAGAGAGAGCAAAGCTGTAAAGAGTAAGAATATTCAAGGTCCAATATTTCTTATGATGGGCAGGGTTTTATTGATCATTTACTTTGTACTATAATGATAAAAAAAAATAATTCACCTTAACTATTTATGCTAATTAATCATTCTAAGTTATGTTTTTGGTAGGTGAAATGAATACATATAGCTAGACGAACCATACAAATCTTTAAAGTACATGTATAATGCAATTGTTAAAATATAGCCTTTAATTTTGTACTCCTCTAGATTCTTTACAGTGTAGCATTGTACTTAGGTGACCGTTCAGAACCTTGAACATAAAGAAATATAAGATATATTGCTCAACATTATTCTGCCTTTCAGTATATAAAGCTTTAGTTCAATAAAATTAACGTTTTCTTGCAGTTAAACCTTACTCTGAATAATCCAGGAATGTATGCAATACATTTCACGGCTGTCGATAAAGCAGGAAATTCAAAGACTTCTAGAAAACTGGTTTTCTTCGATGACATATCCAAAGTTACATTTAAGAATGGGAAAGTAAGTAGGGTAGAAACTGCCACTGAAAATACGCAATTTACATGGGTAATTCAAGACACAAACGGGGTTTTGGTGGCGTGGAAAGATAGATTTCGGAATCAAAGACACGAAAACAACAGGTGGCTGAATGCAGTTAAGCCCTACATTAATATAGAGGACCTTTACGATGATCACACTGGTAAACGAAGCATCAAGGAGTTGCCAAATGTACACGGTAGGTGGATGACAAAGTTTTAATTAACATAAGTTGCATTTTGTCTCAAGGTAAAAGATTGATAAGGAGAGTTTTTTTGTACAACAATTAATCCTTGACTTACCTAGAAAACAAAAGTTATTAAAAAAATTATTTTTGTTTATTTTCAGGTTGTGTTGAATTTTTGGTTTCTTTTAACATCCAGAATAAAACTGGAATAAAAAGCTCCAAAAACTTTACCCGCGTACATGATTTAGAAGACGAATCAGAATTTTTAACTTTGAACTGGACAGATGGTGATAAAGCCGACATAACTGTTCGGGCAGTGGATATATTTGATAAGTTTTTAGATGAGACTGTGACCATTTACCGTGATGCAACCCCTCCGCACATAGAACAGTTATGGTTAACTCGAGGAGATAGATTGAATATCAGTGTTCACAACATGGAAGACTTTGCAAAGATGACGTAAGGGTCCTTTTCTTAACGTTAATGCAACTGATGTCTTTTAAATATTTCAAGGTGTTGTATTAAAAAAGAGCTTTACTTTAGGATTGAGTGGATTGCATATGACTTGCATAGTGGACTTCAAAGCATTTCTTGGAGATTGTTTGACAACTACACGGGAGAGAGTATTCTTCATGGTCATGATGTTATACCAGTACAAGGCATGGCAAAGGTATGTGATGTAAAAAATTGTAATTCTAGACACAACCTACATCACTATTTCAAATGAACTGTCTTTTTGCTCTTCCTGTTCAGGACCTAGACGATTGTAACCAGAAGTATATTAACTACAGCAGAGGACCAAACTGCTATCAGACACCCTTTTTTGGTGCATATCACAAGCATTTCCAAGTGAAGCCAAGCATTAAGGAACACGGGGGACTTCTAATCGGCAAAGATCTCGGTGTTCACGACAGCGATTATTACCTGGAAATCAATGCCACAAACACAGCGCTTTTATCGACAGTTTTGACTAAAAAGGTAAATCGAGTTGAAAAAGATATATAGATGCAAACAAATACAAACTGCCTTTGACTGTACTAAAAAACAATTCAAGAACAAATTACAGCAATACTTTATACGTCTTTTGTCCACTACATTTTATTACGTCTTTTGTCCACTACATTTTAGATTACAATTGACACGTCGCCTCCTCACACTGGTTTTGTCCAAGATGGCATCAAAGGTTCGGGCGAGATCGATTTTCAACAAAGCAAGATCTTGCACGCATACTGGGATGGTTTCTTTGACAGAGAGAGTGGTGTACTGTTTTTTCAATATGCATTTAGTCGTCGGCCATTACATTATTTGGAATTCAGACTTGATACAGGGAACACGATGGTATTTGCTTTTTAAATATGGGTTAGTGTTTGAAATTTAAATCGCATTTTCGTGTTCTAATATAAAATTTTCTTGTCTTTATTGGACTTCATTTAGCCAGTTGAAACCTACTCTCTTCATGCTACTCACAATGTATCTAGCAAAGGAACGTACTATGCATGCGTTGTAGCCTATAATAGAGCACTGGAACCATCGAAACCTGTGTGCTCCGATGGAGTAACCATAACAACTGCAGTTCCTAAAGTTAGAGAGGTCTACATCTCAAATGCCTACATTCGAGGTGGTTTGATTACTGACTCCAATCAGACATTTTTTTGGGAAGTGAACAACGCAAGATACCGCCGAAGAATCATTGCACCTACAACAGATTGCAAGTAACTATAACTTTTTAAAAAAAAATAACATTATATAAATTCTTGTTGAAATATACTAAAAAGTTATTCTTTTAACTTGTAGAAACAAAGCCAGTGTTGTAGCTGGTATAGATCTTTTGCCAATCCTTTATCGAAAAAATGGGTCCATTGATGAGGTTCAAGGACCTTTGTTCTGCGGAAATACCTCCAGTGCTGCAGCTACCTTGAACCCAATACTAGCTAAAGCATCCCACGTATGTGTCGTATGTGTATTTCTTTTTTATATTAAGCTTGAAAAGCAGATGTAATAATGATTTTTCCTATTAATTTTTTTAAGGTAACCCTTACATGGTCTGCGGACAACACTAGCGTACATGATTATGAGGTGGGTTTTTCGTCAACTTCTGGAAGTTCTGCTCCTGACATTATACCCTTCAGGTCCACCAAACAACACCGGCGTATCCACTTTATGCATACAGACATACCAGAGGGAACACCATTCTACATTGTGATCAAGTCAATCAGTAAAGCAAATGTTGAAGGGTTTCAGGTACATGCGTAATAACACCACAGTCCGAATACATGTATATGCACTTTATAACAATATTCACTTCATATTGCTAGTATAAAATATTTGCCAAATTGTGTCTTCTAACGAACTGAAATGCCATTTATCCTAATTTTAATAATACGATACACTTTTCAGTTTATCGGACCATGTTACCTAGACACAACAGGTCCGGAATTTTCACCTCCAATAAGAGTAACCCACTCACAAGGGCATTTGGTGGTTACTTGGGATTCCGCGGCGTTTACGGATGCTGAAGACCCATATCCTCTGCGATTACAGTTTGCTGTTGGTTAGTGAAAGGGACATTTTATTGTATGCGGTCTTGATGTTCATCAGCAAATAACCCCACGGTTCGAAAGTTAACATCGAAAATAGAATTTTGAATATTAGATGAACATTTCCAGATTTTTTTTTTTACTTACTCGATCGCTAATCAAGTGAAAATTGTTATCGTTTTGTCGAAAAACAATGAAATACATGTGTGTTAATTTGAAAAATATTTATATGTAAAAATTTCAGCGCGAAAAAGTTATGCACTTTGATAAGTTAGCAACTTCAAAATTCTATGTTAGATTACTTGTAGAAAACTTTAAAGGTTAAGTTAAGTTGTAAAGTCCTAAAGTACTGATTACACCATATCATTATCAATTATGTCCTGTAGTTATAACCCCCTTCCCGGTTGAAAAATGGGAGGGGATGTCCGTCCGTCAGTTACGTTTTGGGGTATCTATCTCTTTTCCGCAACTTCTATTATACCACTGAATGACATTTTTATGATCCTCTCACAGATTCCTCGTTGTGTAGTCTCATTGTGCAACTCCTGTTTTCCTCTTTGATTGGAAACATATTTCATGTTTCCCATTGCAGAACATTGACACAATCATTTTTTCCTATGATATTGAACCCATCTATTATCCGCAACTCCTCCTGTACCACATAATAACATTAAAGGATATCTGATCCTCAGTCAGGAAGGATAACTCCAAAAATTATTATTTAATTTGAAATGCATCAAAATGAAGCTAAAAAATGAATTTTTTTCATGCAACAACTTTCATTTAATTCTTCTATATAAGATTCAAGGTTTTTGGAAGTCTTAGAAAAGGTCTTATAAGAGTTGACATTTGTACCCTTTAATACAGTTTTAGAGAAATTCAATACCAATGCTTATTAGCATGATATTAAAAAAGAAGTGATTTGTGGTGCCTTGCAATGATAGCAAAAAGCCTTTTACACTAAGTATTAAAGAAAATATGACGGAAATAGAAGACAAAAAATGCCAAATATGTAAAAATTATGACAATTTCTCTGAATGCCTGGACACCTATCGTTTTTATTTAACCTAAAGTGTGTTTGTTGATCAATTTGTAATTAGAAAATGCATTGCTGATACCCCAATTTGCTTTTACTACAAAAATATTGGAGATTTGACAATTTTCCATATACTAGTATAATATGATTAACTTTAATCTTTAACTTTAAAGAAATACTGTGGATAAATTGACATAACTTTGTGGATTCAGCCATACTTTTATGAGTATTTTTGATTACTTAACTGCTAATTTTATAAACCTGAGAATCAGACTACATTAATGATAATTTTCACAAGATTCTTTTTACACAATGCCATTGTGCACCTTCTATTTAACTTTTTGATCTGACACTTATTTTTGGTCTCCCAGAGCAAAACATGCACTTTGCCATTATAGACATTCATTCTGACTATAAGTCTACAAAGTGTGTACAACCTACCGGTAACTATATATGGGAGGCGGGGTATCATTTAGTGAACTCAGTGCTTACAGTTCCTCTGGTTTCTGTAATGACTTTAATCAAATTACCTTTGAATACTATGAAAGTTTATATTAAAGCTTATCTTTTTGTGGATGAATTTGTTCATTTTGTAAAAATCCTCGAATTCTCAAAAGTTTCATAAGATACTAGAATACCTTGATACGCGTATAGTTGAATATAAGAAACGATTACTTGAGAAAATATAGCTATACAGTAAATCTGATATACCTGATAGACCCATGCAATGTTATTAAATTTTTGGAACTAACAACACTCTAGGGCATCAACCAAGAAGTTCTGCGGTTCAGAAATACTTACCACTAAATAGTGGTGGACCTTGTAACATTACCGTACCACCAACATGTACGTTTATCAATATTTCAACGACTGACTGGGGATTTCATGGGAACCATACCTATTTTATTACGGTAAAAGCAGAAAATGTGGCCGGCCTGACAACGTATGGAGTGTCCGAACCTTACCTCCATAATGTACAACTACCGTCCAAAGGGATCGTCATGGATGTTGTGGTATGTCATGAGTACTTCTGAAACAATCTCTATCAATTAAAAAATCCATCATTCATTTAAGGAATGAATTTAATAGCTACCCATTTTATACGGTATAAACTGTGTTGGGGCAGTTTACGCTTTATAAACCCATTTTATACCGTTTAAAATGGGTAGCCACTAAATTCATTGCTTATAATTTAATTTTCATTCATTTGATGTAAGAAAAAAAGATTATTGTTGTAACAAAATGACTTCAACTTGTACAAAATTTTAATGTAACGTCAGGCGGATTGATACGTTTTTGACGCAAGTCATTGTGACGTAGGCAACCCATTATACGATATAAAGTAAATTTTTATCCAATCAAATACAGCGTTACAACCAGAATTAAATTATTTCTATTTAAATAGAATGAATTTTAATATGAATAAACAAAAGTGCACTGACTAATTATAATTATTTCCAGGAAAACGAACAAGATGTTTCAATTGTAAGTAGATTTTTGTCCATGAAGTGAAAATACAATTTTACTATTTGTTTCGATACCATTTCTTTGAGAAAAAAAACTTTATAAAACGATTATAGGTCGATATTGAAGACATTGACTTTACCCCCCAAACCACAATCCTCTCTGCTCACTGGACTGGATTCTTCCATAACTATCTTGATGTTGATTACTTCTTCCGTGCTGGAACAACTCCCGGAGGAAATGACATATTCCAACAAACCAACGTTGGAAGAAATTCTTCATATACGGCAACAGGATTAAACCTCAACTATTTCAAAGTAAGGGAAATTGATGTATATCAGTTTTTGTAGATTATTTATGGCCAATGTTCCTGAAGTATATTTCATTACATAATGCATGGATTTTTTTTATTGTAACAGAAATACTACATTACTATAACAGCAAACACTTCCGCTGGTAGTGTGGAGGTCTCATCCGATGGCGTTACCGTTGTCAAGCAAAATGGATCCTTGAGCGGGGTTATTGTTTATGATGGAGAACCTTGTATTATTTCAGGTGAAAAGAATTATGCTTACAGTTTCTTCCCAATCATATCTGTATTCTGTATTCAGCCTTCACATTTTTTTTAATAAAACCTTGATTTTGTTTTTACAGAAGAAAATGTCTCCTTCACTCACCATGACGAAGTACGTACGATACATAACGTTTATTAAAATTATTTTTATGTTAATAATAAATCAAAAAATATATATTCTAGCTATTCCCACTTTTTCAAAATCTCAATTCCACCTATTCCCTTTTGCAAATAACAATAGATGTTTAGATAGTTAATTTGTTTTTACAGTAACTAGACTAATTACATAATTATGCTTTTTAGATTTACCTGTATTTTGTACATTTTAAGACAAAAAATAATGAATACATCTATGAGAAAATGTGATTTATTTCGGATTTTTGAAATAATAAAAAGGTCTTACAAGGAAAAGCAACTTGATGTCTTAATTTAAGAATATAAAATAAATACATTTATTGAAAAAAAGCATTCAAATAGGTGGGTTTTAGAATGATTATATTAACTGAGAAAAAATACAATTTAATTCTATTAAAAATCCATTTTTTTCTTTCAAATATTAGTAAAAAGTCTGATTTATAATTTAAAAAAGCAAACATACCTGTCCTCTTTTCCAATAGGTGTTCATTAATAATTGTTTGTACAGTAATTTTATGTTTTCATAGTTAATTATTTGTTTGGACAAAAATTCTACCTATTCCCACATGAAATCTTACCTTTTTCTTCCTGATTTTCAAAAAGTGGGAATAGGTAGAATGAACCCTTTAGTTCACCCTCTCAGCCACGGTCCGGAGAGCGCATATAGCTCTCTCCAGAATGAGAGAGAGGATCGTACATTTTGGCCTTGGTTTGCGACGATGGCTTTAGTTAATAAAACAAATATCTGTTATATACACTTTTATATGATAAAAATTTCCCATAATTAAAACTACAATATGCATGGTGTGCATTACAGGACAACAGATTGCCGTGTCTTGAGGATAATGATTACCAGTCTTCTACTGATATACTCACTGCATACTGGAAAATTCCTCAAAATGTCACACAATTTACACCAGACTTGTTTGTTATGTTTGAAGTTATGTCTTCTTTAAATAGTAAGTAATGAATTCTTTGAATAAGTAAAAGTAATAAAAAAAACTTTCTTGACCTTGTCAAAAATTGAAATCGTGAAAATTTTGTGTATGACTGAAATTTACTGTTTTACTGCTATTGTTTTATTATATATATAGCATGTGTAACTGAGTAAAAATGAAAATCTGAAAATGAGTTAATTAAAAAAAATGTCAAATACAAATACTTATATCATTTTTTTTTTGTAGACAAATGGGAGGTTTTTAGGGATTATATGTATATATTTGGACGTAAAGAGATAAAGCGCACTAGCATGTTGCTTAGTCCAGGCATGAAATACCGTGCTGTTTTAAAGCTTTGTGCCAGCGAAATCTGCTATAAACCCGTGTCCAGTGACGGAATAATAGTTCTTGCTAATCCACCAGTTACTGGGTATATCAAAGTAAAGCATCTCAACTCCTCAGATGTTAATAAGGAACAGGTCTGAAGACTTTTCAATACTTTTCAATTCTCTCTCTTTGATAACGTGAAATTCAGTTTATCGTTAATTCCTTCTACACTAGATCTGTATATTGTATAATTTAGTTCTAGTAACTGAAGGTATTTTTAATAATTTTACAACGACATCAAAATATTTACACTACCTTCTACATAAATGCATATGAAAAATGAATGATTATGTTCTAAACATGTTTAAGTTGAGTTTAAACTTCATATTCTAACATACAGTAAAATACTTGTAATTACATGTACTAGTAAGCACAAACCAACTAAATTAATATACAACACACATGTAGTTTTCAATTCTGACCCTTTATAACCTAAACATGGATTTTATATTCTTTAGAGTCTCACAGAATAAATAAATGTTATGGTTAGGGAACATCGTATTATATTTTCAGCTTAAAGTAAAGATGGACAGATTTTACGATCCAGATATCAAGAATTTTAACGGGAGATACGATGTGGTGGACAAATATGAATGGGCTATTACAGATCAATCCAAAATAGGACGGACACATACACAATGGAAAAAACTTAATAATATTACGATTTCATTGTCTAAAACAGAGGTAAAATTAAGCTATCATATTATTAAAATTTCAATGATGTGTCATTCATTAATGATTATTTCTATGATACCTTTAGCTTTTATTAAAAAAGCATGAAAGGTGCACAGAATTTCCGAAAAGTTTGTAAAAAGTTGAATTCTGCTACCCCCTCCAAAAATACTTTAAATGCAATTTTTTCTCATTTAGTAAAATATCAATTCATTTTATAAATTATAAATGTATTTTTTATAGTTTCTTCAAACTGCGCGCGTGACAGATTCCTTCAAATTTCCTTTTCTCGTTTTTTTTTACAATATGAAAATTGAAATCCTTTTTCTTTAAATGAACTCTATTATCTGTTTGGCGATTCTGCCTTTTCTACAGATGACATTTATACTTGACTTGGAAGGAAAATTTGATTTCTCCAAATGTCGCGGCCTTGCCATCCGTGGTTATAACAAAGCCAAGTTGTATTCCACTGTTTATTCGCACATTAAAGATTGCGAGGCATTTGATCCTGTTTTAATCAAACCAAACGTGGTCATAGACGCAGTGGGAAAACCAGACCCTTACAGAGGTTTGTGCAGAATCTTGAAAAATTGAAATACTCGGTAGTTTTTATTTTCTATTAAGTTTTTATATAATGGAAACAATAACCCCATGTTTTAGACGGATATGGTGATCCGATCATCTTGGAAACGAATGCTCACTGGCCTTTTCCCGATCAGGATTATACACCAAATATGAACTATATATCTGCCGTTTGGCCGAAGCTACGATATGATATTTACTCCGTAGCAGTGTTGGACGCCAGAAGTCTTGATGTCACAACATATTACTTACCAGCAAATGCTCTTTCTCTATCGGATCCATGCAGCCATTCTGATGCAATTAAATGCTCTAGGACAGGTTATTAAGCTCCTTTAAATTTAGATTCTAGTATTAATAATGAAAAATTGCATAATTATCAAATTTACTCCATATTTTCCGGAATAGAATAAGATAGTAATTTATTTTTACCAATATGAATTATTTTATCAACGTTCCTCATTGCAGAAAACGAATTTATAAACTTTAAATTTAAAAGAGGCGAACTCGTTCATGGACATCGTTATATAATTTGTATTCACGCCGAAAATACAACTAAGATATACGAAGAATGGACAGAGATACTTCCTGAAATGAATAAGTGTAGCGATGGAGTTGTTCTTGATCTAACCCCTCCGGTGGCAGGGAATATTTGGATTGGTACAACGCAGGGACAGGAGTACCAGGTTGAATCAAATCTTTCAACTTCTGTCTAATATTCCACCGTGTATATCCCAACATGCGGGGTGTGTACTATGTTGTGCGCGGGGTGTATGCTTCCGAAGCGAGAGAAAGGGGGTCAATGAAGTTCTTTATCCATTTTCTCAACTTACGGATATTTTTCGCCAGAAAGCATATGCCTACGGAAAAAAGCATTATCTAAGGAGTATATGGATACCTATGAATCCACTGGACACCTTCTAGTTTTATCAAACACCTCAACACAATTCCGAGGATCGGAGCAAGATTAAAGCTACACTGTGTTTATGATCAAATATCAGAAGAAAGCCTTGCTTTATCATCACTTTTATATTATTGTTAAATACGTGTTTACAATATAAACGATTGTACAAATTGTCTGTTAATAAAACAGTTCGTATATAAAGATATTGACGAAAAATCAATATTGTGGCCGGGGTGTATGCAACATGTTGTACGAGGGGTGTATACCCCATCTTTTTCTTAGGATTGTTAGTGCGAAGTATCTATGGAAATATTATTTACACAGGTTTATAAGCGACGGTTAGTGTTGATAAAAGACCTTAATACTAATGTCGAACCAAAAAGTAAAGTCCATAAACTTTCTGAAATATAAAATAAATTAACTAAATTTTAAAAAATCAAAAGAAGGGAAAAAAAAATAAAAACAAACTATGTCCTAGATGTGCAAGGAGCGATTGTTATCTGAATTAATGCTACATTTTAGATGGCGCAATGGTCTAAATCTGCGTAATCATAAAATATAAAATCTCTCCAAAGGGGGCCCTCGCCCCCCCCCCCCCCCCACCCCCCCATCTCTGCATTGAGGACACTTTGTCCTTTTTTTCGGATCGTTTAAATCTAAATATTTCGCCTGTAAAAATAATAGAAACACTCCATGAATGGTGTATAATGAATAAATCTCTATTTGTTTCTAAGCATTCATGACAGTGATGTAGAATCTTTTTTGAAAAAAAAACTTGACATAAGTTGACTAGTTATAAAAAGGGGGAGGGGCTTATCGAAACTCAAAACTCCTATTTCAGATGGGGTTGAAGGTCCCATCTTTTTTCAGTAACAATGCTCCTTTTTTTACTTAAACATACTACATAATCATTGTTTGACTATGCTGCAACAAAGGGGGGGGGGGGCAACTTGACTTTCGATGAACATTTTCTGTAGTGAAAAGTTGTGTCTGGAACAAAACGGGGGATGATACTACGTGTTTGTATGATATATTAAATTAATTTTCCTTTCAGTTTTTGCAATATGTGGACTCATTTTTCCTTATCTGAAAAGATTTCATATTTTACAAATCACATTAAACATGTAAAGCCATCTATAAAAATGCACATTTGTAATAAGGGAGGACAATTTTTTGAGGGCATGCACAATTGAAAAAAAAACTGTTTTGGTTACAATTACAATTTTTACGTTGACGTGTAATTAATATCAATTAATGTACACCCCTCCTCTAATTTATTATCGTACATGTATATACACGTAGTAAAGTCCCCCCCCCCACACACACACAAATGACCTAAGACACAAAAACACCCTCCCCGGGCCCATTCCTAGAAAATATGTACTCAGTACAATACAATGCCTCAATGTAAAACAAATAGTTTACTGCCAGATGTGACCTCCTGGGGGCAAAGTACACAGCATATAAATACTACACGAAGGAAAACATTTTTTGCGGTGTTTATGACATTACAAAAACCTAAATATTTTCAATAAAAGGGGTGCGGAGATAACGAACAGTATTCAGTCTCAAAGTCCATAAAACAATACAAAACAAGAGCAGAGCAAACACGGACCCCCGAAACATCAGAGATGGGATCAGGTGCCATGGAGGAGTGAACATCCCCTGCTGACCGGTTACACCCGCCGTGTGCTCATTGTCATGATCAGGAAATAACGGAAAAATTCGTCGTCAATTCGGTGTATAAATATTGGACTAAAAATTGGTATGAAAAACGTCAGTCAGCATTTGACTCGATGATAAATTGTGTTTGCTTACAAGGTCATTGTATCGACCATAGAACTTACGAAATGATGATTTTAAACGAGACTGCTGTATTCTTGTTTCATCAACTTGCTTGTCAATAATGTACCTCGTTACAGAAATTGTTCATACGTAGAGCATGCTCCTGCGTATCGAATCAACTGAGATATATACACTCTTTATGCAGTATCATTTAAAAATGTTGAAAAAGGTTAAACAGAAATCATGAGAAAATGTTAAATGTTCAGAATGATGCATGTGTGACGCATTTATTAAGGCATGATCTGAATAAGGTGTCTTTAAATCGAAGGGATGAATTGTTGGTTATCATAATAAACAATTAAACAAAGCACCCTGTACATTTACTTCCATGTGCATGCAAAGCCAAAAGTATGATGACCGTGTATCTTTTTTTTCAGTAAATCGAATTCATGAACCTGTCCAAAGTTGTGCTATTACAAAACTGGTGAATAATTAAAAAAAAAATATAACTTTCACAAAAGTCAATTGTTAAGGATATATGATCCTCAGCCAGGAAGGATAACTCTTTAATTTATAATTTAATTCAAAAAGTCTTAAAATAAAGCTTGAAATTGAAATTTTTTCATGCAACAATTTTCATTTTATGCCTCTACGTATGATTCAATGTTCTTTAAAGTTTTAACAAACGGTATTTAAAAAGTTGAAATTTGTACCTCATAAAATGAAGTAAAACTTGCCAATTTAAAAAAAATCAAATTTCTTTTAATTTAGCCATAGTTACCAATGTTTATATGCATGATTTGAAATTAGAATTGATTTACGGTGTTTTCTTTGAAAGGAAACACTTCATACACTATGCATTATGAAACAATGGAAGTAAGTAGGAGAAAGTAAAGTCCAAATAAGTGTAAAATTCATGCAATTTTCTTTAAAAGCCTGGATACCTATGATTTTTATTCCTAAAATGTATTTCTTGATTAATTATCAATTAAAAAATATGCAGTAGGTAGTTCAAATCGCATTTCCTGAAAAATTATTTGAGATTTACTAATTTTCCCTATATAATATGATTGAATTTAAAGATGAATTTTAAAGAAACACCGTGGGTAAATATATTTTAATTTGAGAATTTAGAGACATCTTTGTGAGCATGTTCAATTACTCAATGCCTGATTTTCAGAACCTGAGGATCGGATAACCTTAAGAATTTTTTAAATGATATTTCAGACAATGATACTATAGAGCAAAGAGAGGGGTATACACCCCACGTACAACATGTTGCATACACCCCGGTCACAACATTGATTTTTCGTCAATATCTTTATATACGAACTGTTTTATTAACAGACAATTTGTACAATCGTTTATATTGTAAACACGTATTTAACAATAATATAAAAGTGATGATAAAGCAAGGCTTTCTTCTGATATTTGATCATAAACACAGTGTAGCGTCAATCTTGCTCCGATCCTCGGAATTGTGTTGAGGTGTTTGATAAAACTAGAAGGTGTCCAGTGGATTCATAGGTATCCATATACTCCTTAGATAATGCTTTTTTCCGTAGGCATATGCTTTCTGATGAAAAGTATCCGTAAGTTGAGAAAATGGATAAAGAACCTACATTGACCCCCTTTCTCTCGCTTCGGAAGCATACACCCCGCGCACAACATAGTACACACCCCGCATGTTGGGATATACACGGTGTATTACCTTTCAATTTCTTTCTAATATTACCTTTCCACTTCTGTCTAATATTACCTTTCAACCTTTGCCTAATATATTAATTTTCTTTCATTAAATCAAAGTCCAGCACTAAATATTGCATTTACTTATTTCAGTCTTCGAGTTCTGTTCTGTATATCAACTGGGATTCGTTTCAAGACGTTGAGGACTTTAAGACAATATCTCATTCCTCGGGAATACAAAACTACAGGCTTGGAATAGGTAATCTTGATTAATTATATCATAAATGAAATATTTGTGTTAAAGTAAATCACCTAAAAATATTGACGTTTCTTTTTAGGTACCTCTGCTGGGGGAAATGATGTGGTCGCATTTTTTGATGTTGGTGTTGTCAACCACAAGGCAATTCACGGCTTATCATTAATAAACGGGCAAAGCTATTATGCAACCCTTTCTGGTGAGCAATTGGTGACTCTAACAACAGTTCTTAATAAATAAACACGTATATTTTAATGAATTGAAATATAAATCATTAACCCATGCCCAGCAAACTCGTATCAAAAGATTCCACTGCAACCATTGCCAGAGAAGCTAATATTCTTGAAATAAAATACTTTTCAGAAAAGATTAAAGAGTGTTTATATAAAATACTCTCAATTCTTTTCTAAAGGTATAGACTTTGCAAACAGAACCACGACCAAGACATCGCCGCCAATGATCGTGGACATTACTCCACCTAAGAAATCCGATGAACCTATTACTTTAGCCAACAGGCACATTACTTCCGATACCGAAATATCGGCATGGCAAGTATACCCAGATGTAGCATTCTTTTAAGCACCCATTTAATGGATATCATGTATAGAATTTTTTTTTTCAGTTTGAAAGCATACTTTTCCCTAAAGATTTTATCATTTTCTCGATCAACAGCTGGAAAAATGTTTTCCATGATCCCGAAAGTGAAATTTCCTATTACGAATGGTCAATCGGTTCCAAATCAGGGTATGATGACGTCATGAAATTCACTCGTACGTACATGGATTGCTCTGAAAATAATAAAATCGGTCGCCTTCAGCTCAAGGAGGGACATGCCTACTTTATATCAGTCAAGGTAATTACCTTAGCCAATGAGGAAAATTTGAATTAATGTATATCACTAAAAAACTTTCGCTGAACCTTATTTTTGCGAGATATAGACATTTATTTTCTGTTAGCGGAAAGAATTTTTTCACAAATTGTGGTTACTTCTCCACTAACTAGTGTATAATCGTACGCAATACTAATTTACACAAAAATTATTTTCGCGAGCAGACCGTCTCGCATAATTACGCGAAACTTAAGTTTTTCTCGTGTATAAAAAGTCATAAATAGTCAAACTCAAAAGACTTTAAGAGTAAATGTATTTTGATCCACAGGCAGTAAATAATGCTGGGTTAATGTCAATGGCAACGTCTTGGGCATACACTGTAGATTTAACACCTCCCACTATAGGCCATGTTCTGGACATCAGTCCTATGGGAAAAGAAGTGCTTGACATCGATTTTCAAACAGAGACCTCCAAATTGTTCATTGTATGGAAGGGATTCTATGATCCGCACTCTTCGATTAACGAATACTTAGTCAGTATCGGATCATGTTCTAGGTGTGAGGATGTATTGGTCAAGCAATGTGTTGGAGTTAAAACTGGTACGTGCAGTACACAAATATAAATTAATGGCATTTTCATCTTTGAATTTCTTTCTTTCAATATATGCATATAAAAAAAATATTAACAGAATTGCTGGTTGATAATGTGCATCTTGGAGTGGGTATTACCTATTACACAACTGTAATGGCTTGTAACACGGCGAATCTCTGCAGTGAAGCTAGCTCTGACGGCGTCATCATTGACAGCAGCCCTCCAAGTCTTGGTCGTGTTATAGACGGAACAGACTTACAAGACATTGAATATCAGTCCGCAAGGTATTTCAAAACTGCTTGTTTGAAGAACTACTAATTTTTTTAGCTCACCTGAGTCGAAGGCTCAAGTGAGCTTTTCTGATCACATTTTGTCCGTCGTCCGTCCGTCCGTCTGTCTGTCCGTCTGTCCGTCTGTAAACTTTTCACATTTTCGACTTCTTCTCAAGAACCACTGGGCCAATTTTGACCAAACTTGGTACAAAGCATCCTTGGGTGAAGGGGAATTTAAATTGTTAAAATGAAGGGACATATCCCCTCGCAAGGGGAGATAATCAAGAAAAGACAAAAATAGGGTTGGGTCATTAAAAAATCTTCTTCTCAAGAACCACTGGGCCAGTAAAGCTGAAACTTATGTGGAAGCATCCTGGGGTAGTGTAGATTCTAAACTGTTCACATCATGACCCCCGGGGGAAGGGCGGGGCCACAATGGGGAATCAAAGTTTTACATAGAAATATATAGGAAAAATCTTTGAAAATCTTCTTCTCAAGAACCACTGGGCCAGAAAAGCTGAAACTTATGTGGAAGCATCCTGGTATAATGTAGATTCTAAATTTTTCAAATAATGACCCCCGGGGGAAGGGCGGGGCCACAATGGGGAATCAAAGTTTTACATAGAAATATATAGGAAAAATCTTTGAAAATCTTCTTCTCAAGAACCACTGGGCCGGAAAAGCTGAAACTTATGTGGAAGCATCCTGGTATAATGTAGATTCTAAATTGTTCAAATAATGACCCCCGGGGGAAGGGCCGGGCCAATATGGGGAATCAAAGTTTTATATAGAAATATATAGGAAAAATCTTTGAAAATCTTCTTCTCAAGAACCACTGGGCCAGAAAAGCTGAAACTTATGTGGAAGCATCCTGGTATAATGTAGATTCTAAATTTTTCAAATAATGACCCCCGGGGGAAGGGCGGGGCCACAATGGGGAATCAAAGTTTTATATAGAATATATAGGAAAAATCTTTGAAAATCTTCTTCTCAAGAACCACTGGGCCAGAAAAAGTGAAGCTTATGTGGAAGCATAGTGTAAATTCTAAATAGTAGGAATCATGACCCCCGGGGGAAGGGCAGGGCCATTATAGGGAATCAAAGTTTTACATAGAAATATATAGGAAAAATCTTTGAAAATCTTCTTCTCAGGAACCACTGGGCCAAAAGAGCTGAAACATATGTGCCCATGGAAGGATCATGGGGAAGTGTAGATTTCAAATTGTCTAAATTATGATCAGGGGGGTAGGGTGGGGATGTATTATGTATAACAAGGGGGAAATCTGGTAAAGAACAGAATGGTCAAAGCTTCTCAGGTGAGCGATGTGGCCCATGGGCCTCTTGTTTAAAAATCCCATAATGATAGATCAATTTTCCTACAACACGCATATGTTTTATTAATACAAGGTGAATTGAGAGTTAATATATGAAAACGCAAGACCCATTGATTTCTTCGTAAAATATATGGATATAACGAACAGTATTAAAGTTCAAAAGTACATTTAATAATACAAAATAGGAGCAGAGTAAACTTGGACCTCCGAAACATTATAGGTGAGATCAGGTGCCATGCTTTGAAAACATGATACATGTAATATTAATCATGAATATAACAATTATAAATTAATTTGACTTCATCATTAACATTTCTGAAAAAAAAAAGAAGTGTTCATTTTACAATTTACATAATTCTGAATTCGTAGATTTAATAGTTTATGTTCTATAGTACAGTGTTATCGTAGACATTTGGCGGTTTGGTCATTATTATAAAAAATATATTTTATCTACAGCACTCGTTTAATGGGAGCATTTTTTATCGCAGTAATTTCATCAGTGCACGTTGGTTGGGGTTCAATGATCCTCAGTCAGGGCTATCACACTTTGTCTGGTGGGTTGGAACGACACCAGGAGGAGATGAAATTCTTCTAGAAAGAGAAGGACACCTAACAGAAGTGGCAGTCGCCTTGAATATTACTCCACAATTGCCTGTTGGGAAGCGCCTTTATATCTCTGTTAGAGCTTACAATAATGCAGGTACACTCTATCAAATGATAATAATTCAAAGTTTATAAGGTTGAACATTTGATCCTTTTATGATAACGATCAGTTGAAGCCATTGTTTTGAATTTACTTGAACAAGAAATCTTGTTTTAGGCTTGTATACAGAAGCAACATCAAACGGGTTCCAAATAGATAATACTCCTCCTGTAATATCCAGAGGTCCAGTATTTTCTAAAGACTTTGGAGTCAAAGATAATACTCAGTTTTATAGAACTTTGATGAAAGTCGAATGGGATGTTAGTGATTCTGAATCTTATATAGAAAGACAGTATATTTCTCTACGGTCTCATATGGGTGGAGATTTCGATCTTTCATCAACACAGGTAAGGTCAAATATATCTTAGCCATTTTAATGTATTAGAGAAATGTAAGTACATAAATTTTATTTTAGTGTAATGACTAATCTAGAAGACAAAGGTTTAATGGTTACATGACTGATGCTTTGGCTTAAATTTAGAAGATTCTCAATGATAAAGTCAAAAGGATTTTCGCCTGTCCATCAATTCAGTTGTTATTACACATGACAATTGATTTAGAAATTGTAAATTGCAAATTATGACATCAAGGTCAAAATGCACAGTTACTGTGAAAACTGTTACTGATAAATTCTTAAAAGAATCAATGCAATGATTTATGAGGTAAGTTTTAAAATCTTACTTCGCATGGACAAAACTGTATACAAGTCAACACTGTAGATTTGCTGAATGATTCCAAATATTACGCAAATTATAACATCACAATGCCTTTAATATTTGAGAAGTGGTAATATAGATAAAGCTAAAATTGCTTGAAGTAGATAAATTTGCTAAATACAATTTACACAATTTATCTAATAAAGAATAAAGTTGCTTCTGTCGTCGCGTCTTCAACCTGAAAACAGGGTTGGGGAGACAGATCCTTCGGGCGATAAATACGTTTTAAACCGCAGTCCCGTGTCACAGTAAGTACTGGCACAAAAAATACCTCACTACTAAATGGTCCTTAGTACCGATTACAGGCCTAAAATTTTCGAAAGGGATAATTTTTTAAAAAAGCAAGGCAAACAAAATTCTCGAAAAGGACATTAAACAAACAATCTAATCCATTGTATCCCCCTGTCAAAAATTATTACTCAAATGTGTTTTCGCACTAAAAATATGAGATGGTCTTACTTTAAATCTAGTTCTGATGGTTTTATATACATGTACGAAATTGTTAAAATATCTTGCATTTTTATTTACCTTAGTTTTCAAATCTTTTCATATTCAAATTAATTCAATATGTCTATTATACTCTAGTATTTAAATTATGATAAACATGAGTGATGTTTTAAAAAAAAAAGATAATACATGTATTGATATTAAAATATCAAACTTAATTTTTCATACGATGTATATTTTCTCCTGTAGATTAATGGAATAGCCAGGGACTTTGTTATAACAGGATTAAATCTGCATGACGGAGTTACATATTTTGTCACCATTGTATCATGTAATGGAGCCCAAATCTGTTCGACAAGTAATTCACCTGGAATTTTGGTTGACAGTACACCACCAAATAGAGGTTGTGTGGTTTTTTCCCCTTGCATTTAGAATATGACGAAATGAATTACTTAGTAGTTTAATTTCTCTGGTAATTGGTCTGCATTCTTTTTTATGAAAAATATGGTTAGAAATCTATATACTAATTTTTAAAATTAATAAAGTTATAATTTTAATACCATTCTGCCCGTTTATATTCTAAATTACCTGTAGTTTTCTATTTTCATTTTACACAGGTATGTTTGCCATTAAAACCGATCATGCTGCAGAGCTACATCGTCACCTGAATGATTCTATGACATGGACGAAATATTCATTAAACCTAGCTTGGCTTGGATTTGCTGATATTCACTCTGATGTTATCTATTATTTTATAAATGTTGGATCATACTATATGGGAGCTGATTTAAACAATGTAAGTGAAATGGCATCTTTAACCGTTCTAAATGAATCCTTTTATCGAACAAAACTTTTTAGGGTTTCTTTTAATTTTATAGGAGCCAGTACTTTCTGAGAGGGTAAATCACACTACAACAGGTGCAGATAGGTTTGATGAAGGAAAAGTTCAGACTTCTAGAATAAAAACAGCAAAACTTGGCCCAGAAATTACACATGTGTTTGTCAGTATGTGGGCTGTAAACAAGGTATATTGGTTCAGAAAAGCTAGATTTAATATAAAGTAAATTAAATATAGTTTGAAAAATATGTAATATACTAGTAATTCATTGCAAATAACTAAATTACTGTTTAGTAAAAAAAAAATCCCAGCATCGAAATAAACCCTACTGGGGTTCTTATGATAAATCCTTGGGTGTTCGACAATACTATGTTTAAGCAAAGTATATTATGAAATTATGACATAAGGTAAATAATTTAATTTGGTAAAGGTTTGAACATAAATGTTATATTACAGGTCGGATTATCGAGTTCCATTATTCATTCAAAATTCAGAAAGTTGCCAGACGGCAGTCTGTTTCTCATAAGAAGATGCGAAGCTGCAACATGTAAAGGTCATTGCGTCTGTGCACCACAAGACCAAGTCTGTCATCATAACAATGAAACGTCCTGCAGCGATGTTTCTAACAGTAAGGGGACGACCATTTGATCCTGAAGGGGGGGGGGGGGGGCTGGCAAATTTTTTTGAGACGGATTATTAATTTTCATGCCTGTCAAAGACAGATTATTTATTTTCAAGATTATCAAGGACAGATTATTTATTTTCTTCTTTGTCTTACCGTATCTTGATCAAATGATTCTAAAAGACTAATCATTTATATATATACCATTGGCGGATACAGAATTTGAGGACGGGGCGTGTATAACTTCGTTTAGGCAAGAGGTCTTGGGCTGCCGTAAGGCCCCCAGTGGGTCCTTATATAGTGGTATTGGTTATAATGAACCAAAGTATGACATGATATTAATACTGGTCAAATCATACTTTGAATGAAGGGGGTTCTGGGGGCGAAGCCCACTGAAGCTCTTGAGTTTTCTGTATATAAAAGAGTACAACAATTAAGACACAGTTGTGTAGGAATTGGTTAGTTATGTACCAAAATATGACACTGTTAATACTAGTCATATCATACTTTGAATGAAAAGGGCCCAGGGGGCGAAGCCCCCGAAAGCTCTTGGGTTTTTGTGTATTTTAACAGTGAAACTAGGCACAAAAATATTGGTATTGTCCCAAAGTATGGCATTATTATTCGTATCATAGTTTGAAATTTTAGGGGAGGGGTCGTACACATGTACGTCCCCCTTAAATCCGCCAGTGTATATTTTATGTTAACTTATCGGGGAAGTGTAATTCTTTGACAAGAAAATTTATCTTTTGAGGTGTATAAGAACTGACTTGTATTTAAAGTGATTCATCACACCTATACTAAGTGCACATTGTCATGTTGATAAACTGACTACAAGTATCCAGTCTGGTAATCTTGATTTTAATTACTATTTGGTTCTAAAATGGCGAGCGAAGCGATCCAAAAAAATTTTTTAATTGAAGATTTCTGAGATTTAATTACACGTAAATAAAAAAGGTATGTTTCACATTAAATATCATAAGTCAAGGTCAGATTATTTATTTTGTTTGTAGTGGAAGACAGATTATTTATTTTCAAAATTTTCAGGGACAGATTATTTATTTCCAAAATCTGCCAGGCCCCCCCCCCCTCAGAATCAAATGGTCGTCCCCTAAATATTAATAGATCCAATAAATTTTATTGACAAGACATGCTCAATAGAACAACAATAATAAATAAATAAAGGAAGAATTCGAGAAAAAAAATAAATTGAATTTGATAATTAAGTTCGTTTTAATTTCCAGGAAATACTAACAATTTACTACAAGTGATAGATGTTATGTCCAGTCAAACGGACATAGACTATACACCAAGTAACACACTATTGCAAGGTCGATGGAGAATTGTTCAACGACAAGGAAAAGTGCCCCTCTGGTAAACATAACGTGATAATAACATCTGGCACAAACTGATAATTGAACCTTTGATCTTAACTTCAAACTAACTTGCTGCATTTCATTTAACTATCTTTAAAATTAAATAGACAACTCTTATGAAAAATAAAGGTCTTATTATTAGGTACGAATGGAGTGTAGGACTAACACAAAATAGCGAACCAACTGGAATATTTCATCAAGAAGTTGATCGGGTTTGGCAAGATGCTGGACAAAATAATTTTATGATTTTCTCAACAAATCCAGGTACCTATGTTAAAGTTTAGAACAATCTGTAAGTTTTATATACTAGTTGATTCTTTGGAATTTTACTTACCTAAATGATATATTTACTTCATAGGTTTCTTTTTGGAAGAGGACGAAAAATATTCAGTTTTTGTTAAGGCGTGGTATAGTTACACTTCTTTCGCTATCTTTAAGTCGAATGGTGTTACTGTTGTTACTGGAACGCCATCTGTGACCAATGTGCTTGGAAGTGCCGTAAGTAAATACCATTGAATAGATGCTTAGACTCTGATTGACAATATCTATGTGGCTCCAACTTATGAGGCGCCGTTTTAATATTTTTGAGGTATTTTCTGATATCAAAAAAGAAATTATTGATATCAATAATTCGAATTCTTGATATCAAAAAATATTTTTTGATATGAAAAAATAATTCATAATATCAGAAAATAGATTTTTTGATATCAGAAAACATTTTCTGATGTAAAAAATTCGAATTCTTGATATCAAAAAATGATTTTCTGATATCAGAAATTCGAATTTTTGATATCAAAAAATCTTGTTTATTTTCTGATATCAAAAAATTGATTTTGTGATATCAGAAAATGATTTTTTGATATCAAAAAAGAATCAAGAATTCTTGATATCAGAAAATACATTTTCTGATATCAAAAATCTATTTTTGATATCAGAAAATGAACAAGATTTTTTGATATCAAAATTCGATTTTCTGATATCAGAAAAAAAGAACCAAGTAAAATTACGATTGACTTAATGAATGCTCCCCGTGATGAAGGTTTAGCTTCCCGTCGCTTAAATTAGTTGCAGACTTTGTTGAATTCTAATATAAGTTTAAGACATGTCTGTATGTTAGGATGCCGTCGGGGTTTTTTTTGGGGGGGGGGGGTGTTTAAGTTTTTTTCAGTATTGACTATATTTTTATTATAATCAATTCAAAAACTTTATGGATAGCTCAGACTTCACCTTGAAGAATGAACTTCTGCGACCACTCAACGAGTACTTGCTGGTCAGCTGTGACGTAACATCACTTTACACCATATCAATTGGGGAAGCTAATGGCTGCTGTTGATAGGGGTTACAGAGAAATTCTCAATTTAAGCCCAACCTTTAGCACATCTACATTATTTACTCAGATTTATCCAAAATTGAAAAATACAATTGTAATATATTTGAATTCCATTGAAATAAATATGACCAAAAAGTATCGAGAACACTTATTAAATTCTTTCATTTAAAAAATATTCTTAAAATCTGAAAGCAACAAACTTTAGTGGAAAGCAAATCTGGCTCTACAGTTAAAGGGGGTATTCATTATTTATGTAAAGATTCTTCGCAATTTTATTTTATTTTCTGATATCAAAAAATACATTTTGTGATATCAAGAAATCAATTTGAATTTGTGATATCAAAAAATCATTTTCTGATATCAGAAAATCGATTTTTTTGATGTCAGAAAACGATTTCTTGATATCAGAAATTCGAATTTTTGATATCAGAAAATGACTTATATTTTTTTGATATCAAGTCAAGAATTCCAATTTTTGATATCACAAATTACATTTTTTGATATCATAAAATCTCGAAGATTTTTTGATATCAGAAAATGATTTCTTGATATCAGAAATTAGAATTTTTGATATCAAAAAATGATTTTCTGATATCAGAAAATCGAATTTTTGATATAAAAAAATCTTGTTTATTTTCTGATATCAAAAAATATATTTTGTGATATCAGAAATTGATTTTTTGATATCAAAAAATCGAATTTCTGATATCACAAAAATGATTTTTTGATATCAGAGAATACCTTGAAAATATTAAAACGGCGCCTCATACCAACTATCTCTTGGTATTAGCATGAGTATCTATTCCCTTAATTAGCAGACATATGTTTGCATTGGTATTAAGTAGAATTAATTCAAAAATTTAAACATGAGAAGAAGAAAACACTTGGCCTTCAAGGTCGATATTTAAATTCATTTAAGTCGTTATATCTGAGTGAACTTAAAGTAAAAGTTACTACAGATTCCGACACACCTGTTTTATATTTATGAATGTCTTAGAAAAAGAAGTTATTGGACAGTAAAATATGACTGCAACTTTTTTTTGTCGTAAACTTCTCTTGCATTTATTTTGCAATGTACCATATCATCTGTTTATGTCTCCCAGGTGATTCGATACGTAATGGAATATTCTTCGTTTGAACAATTTCTAAAACGAGACAAGTAATTATCAAATAGATTAATAAAACAATGATTTCAACAGTCTATTTTAAAGTCATCATTTTGCAAATTTACTATCGACTTTCTCAGCAAATACAATCTTTAATGTCCGAGAATATTGCTTTTGAAAAGGTATGTGAAAGGATGATGGATAGCAAGTTTAAAGATCAAGATTTCATCTTAGATGGTGTTTCTTTCGTGGTTGATTGGAAAAACAAATTTGTAGATGCAGAGCACATTATTCGATCCTTTCAGCTTTATATCAGCACGCACCAAGAAGGTATTCTCAGTAAATTACTACTATTTGAGTTGGTATTTTAAATCTTTCTTTCGGGGTATTTCTTATTTAAATTAGCAATTACAATCATGTTTTCGCGGTTTTCATAATTCAGGTCATGACATCTGGGAAGGAAGCAAAACATTACAAAATACGCAAACATCATACCGTGTCAGAAGAATTTCACTGATTCCAGGTGTTCAGTACTTCAGTAATGTGATTGCTTATGGATTATATGGGATCCATCATACAGAAGTATCAGATGGATTTATGGTGGACAACGTGAAGCCAACAGCAGGGACAGTTTTTGATGGAATAGGTATGTCAAAAATAGTTCAAGACATCGATTTGTCTACATGAAATATTGTTAAAATGTATGTTTTTAAGCATTCCTTTTATTATCAAAAGTTATGCAATCTATTAGATATCTAAAGAAATATAATAAAAGAGCATATGAATGTTTTATTTAAATGGAAAACAATTCCATTGTTGATGCTAATATATAATTAAAATTACCAACATACTAGTATCTGCCCCCCTCCCTTTCAAAGGAAAGTGAAACTTTACTATACAAAAATATTTTTAAATTAGTAATTTTGTTGTTTGAAAAACCGACATACATGTATAAAAATGTTAACTGTTTACCGCTTTTTACTAGGATTACATGATCTTCAATATCAAAATATGTCAAATATTGTCGGCGCGAGGTGGCATGGTTTTGGGGACACTGGATCTGGAATCGTTCAGTATTACTGGTGTGTTGGCATTTCTCCTGCTATCAGCAATGAACTCTCAGAAACGGAATGTAATGTTCTAGAATGGAACAGAGTTGGAATGCACACATACATCTCAAGAACATTATCTCAAAACTTCACAAACGGTGAATATATTTAATGTTTTTACCAATTACATGTATCTACATTTGTGTAACCATTGAAATTGCAGCATTTTCCAAATATTACCTCAAAATATTTCTTTTTCCTGCAGGACAAACCCTATATAACAAGGTTTACGCAATTGATAATGTGAATTCGAAGTCGTCCATTGCTGTTTCAAATGGAGTAGTTATTGACATTACACCTCCACAACCACAATATCTATTTCATGAGGATAAAATTTTAGCGAAAAATCCATCTTTTGAGGTCTCAGAGAAGAACATCTCTATAAACGATATAAATCAAACAAACGTTTGTTCTCTTAATATAGACTATCTTCCGCACAACTGGACTCTGACACCTAGCAGCTGTGGAGTTGTCGTATCTACCAATAAAAATTTAGCAAGGAATGGCAAGTCATTTCTTTATGTAAGAGGGAGCATTACACAAAACATCAGTCACTTAGTATCAGGAGAACTTTACCGCGTTAATTTTTTCAGCAGTCATTTACTTATACACGTATCGAAGATATCAAGTAAAGAGGGATTTATAAATATTGGAAAAACAAAACATGTATTTATGCTCTACAGTAAGGCATATCGACAGGACGAACATGGAAAGTCGAAAAAGAGAGAGATTGTTTCCTGGCACAGACATACCTTTTATTTTGTTGCCCCAGACAATTGGACTGTTTTGGAGATAGGAAGTAATGACAAGACCGGGTTATTTTTGGATGATGTGGCACTACAAAGAGTTGAAAGAAACAATGTAAACAAAACAGAGGACTTGCATGTCAATGCTCACGTGGTGTATCTTCATGAATGGGGTTCCATACATGGATCTTGGAGTTTTATTGAAGATATAAGTACTATCAAAGAGTACAAATGGGCTATTGGTAATCATATTTCAGTTGATATGTCAAATTATATATGACTCATTTTATTAGGTCTGTGTATAACTAACGGTGAAGTATATTCTCTTTTCTGAAACCATATATAAAAGAATTTTTATAGTCGTACTTTGCCTGTGAAATAAATGTCATTTGTTATTTCAGGTTATACAAAAGGCGGAACTCAACTACAAGGCTTTAAAAGTGTTGGAATCAGCAACTTTGCATACAATACAAACGTAACTCTTGTTCATAAAACATACATACATGTAACAGCCGTGGCTTTCAATACTGCAGGACTGCAAGGAATTTCTTACTCAAAGCCAGTTATTGTTGATTTAACTCCGCCAGTTATCAGGAGCGTTAATGATGGCAGATTGTTGAGTATGGTATTTTTTATTTGCACATGCTGATGCCTATTCAATTAAATTACCAATATACCCATGTTTCCTTTGAGTGTTTTGTTTCTTTTTCAGATGTGGACGAAGATGCATGGACAGACAATGAGGTAGCTGTGAACTTTGAAGTCGAGGATGAGGAATCTGGAGTCGATTTTTGTGAATGGGCAATAGGTAAGACACTTAAAATGAAAGTATAAAAATCATACCACTAAATGAATGCACGAAAAGTAAAGAATAACAATTTTTATCTGAAAATGCTCAAAATTGTTGCAGGATTCCAACCACAAGGCATCGAGTTGCAAAGCTTTGTTCATATATCAGAATCTTTGAGGACAACCTTTACAGACTTTCCTTACTCTAAACTAGCGAACAGAACCTTATTTTCTACAATTCGTTGCCACAACCGTGCTGGACTAACAAGTTCCAGGTCCACTAATGGAGTGAAGATTTCTATTCGTCATCCTTCAATTCGACATGCTGAAATCAATATTATTCCGCTATCTAATACAGAGTATCCAGCCACAAACCACTACCAGAGTGTTACAAACAATATCAGGATTCAGTGGAGCGGATTCGAGGATTATGTTGGCTTGGAACAATACAAGGTGTATAAAATAAAGTCTACAGCAAGGCTGTAACATATGTACTGTTTCTTGTTAAAGATTCTAAGCAGGAAAAAATGTCTTGCTTTTTGCAGCAGTTGTAATGATTTCGCAAAGAACTTTACTCTGTCTCATCACAAGAAATTAAAAAAAAAAATCTTTAATTAATTACAGATTACCTGTTCCAGTGGCAAAAGTACAATAGAAGAAAAGATGTCGTTCCCGAATGGGCAAGATATTTTAAGCATGAACATTATCAACATGAATATGTCAGAGGGTTTTAAGAATATTTCAGTCCAAGCTATAAACAAAGTTCTTCTTAAAAGTAGCAATGTCCAGTCTAACTTGACCGTTGCAATTGGCAAACCAAAGAAAGGTAGGAGGGCATCATCGGAATGTTTTTCAGTTGTGATAAGCTTAATTGCTTCATCACTTTTTGACATCATTTCTTTACGTATTTATTTCTTTTCTTTTGCTGCAGGAAATAAGGAAATGATAGTTAACTGGCATTCTGGGAAAAATGAATTCACAGTTTTCTGGGGAGGGATTTTCTCCTCTGCTTACCCTCTGTATTATGAAGTGTCAGCTGGAACAGTGGAGGGAGGAAGCGACATTCTACAGTGGCTGGAGACCACATCCACCAATGTCACATTTGGCCTCCCTTTGTCGGTCACAAACTGGGAGGGTCTTCACGCCCACATTTTTGTTAGGGCCATTAGCGTGGGAGGAGAATTTAATAACATTAAAGGGTTTATTAGGCTTCCAAAATAAGTCACATGAATAATATATATGGGATTTTAAATAGAGTAATAAAAGTGGATAACTATCGCCAAAATACCTTTATAAATGATCATGTTTTTTTTTCATAAATATCACATATCATCTTTACATACAAATTTTCTAGGAATTAAAATGAATCTCTATCATTTTTCTAGCAATGTAAGCCTTATTTTCCCCATTTTATTTCTATTTCTAATTTTAAAAGTATGCTTGGATGCTAGGATGTTATTGTTTTACTGTTTATCATCTTTTTGTCATTGTTTGATTATAATAATATTACAAGTTACTAAGTAAATTGAAGAGTTTTAGAACAATTTAGAGAACAATTTATGATTACTTACTAGATATCGTTGTTTATTCTCTGTATCAGGATATGTTTTGCACAACAAATATTAAATCTTCTCTAGTGCAGATGAAATGACTATCAAATTTGTAAATAGTATGAATTAATCAAAATTTAGTATTAATAAATGTATTTAAGTCATTACATTTAGTTATCTTGTTATCATGTATTGCATGTAACTGTGGCACTGACCGTAAAGGGGCTTGGACACAGATTTGAAGTTGATATTTCTCCATGTTTTAGCTCACCTGAGCCGAAGGCTCAAGTGAGCTTTTCTGATCACATTTTGTCCGTCGTCCGTCTGTCAACTTTTCAACTTCTCAAGAACCACTGGGCCAATTTTAGCCAAACTTGGTACAAAGCATCCTTGGGTAATGGGGAGTTGAAATTGTTAAAATAAAGAGCCATGTCCCCGGGGTAGGGCGGGGCCACAATAGGGAATCCAAGTTTTACATAGAAATACATAGGAAAAATCTTTAACAATCTTTTTCTCAAGAACCATTGGGTCAGAAAAGCTTAAACTTATGTTGAAGCATCCTAGGGTAGTGTAGATTCTAAATTGTTCAAATCATGACCCCCGGGGGTAGGGCGGGGCCACAATACGGAATCCAAGTTTTACCTAAAAACATATAGGAAAAATCTTTAAAAATCTTCTCAAGAACCATTGGGTCAGAAAAGCTTAAACTTATTTGGAAGCATCCTGGGATAGTGTAGATTCTAAATTGTTTAAATCATGACCCCCGGGGGTAGGGCGGGGTCACAATAGGGAATCCAAGTTTCAATTATATAGAAATATATAGGAAAATATCTTCTCCTTAAGAAGCAGTGGGCCAGAAAAGCTGAAACTTAGGCGGAAGCATCCTGGGGGAGTGTAGATTTTAAATTATTAAAATCAAGATGGGGTGGTGGTGGGGGGATAGGGGGCCACACTAGATAGAAGAAGAGGGGGAATTTGGTAAAGAAATGCATCACTAAAGTTACTCAGGTGAGCGATGTGGCCCATGGGCCTCTTGTTGATATAACATTTCCTTCTGTTGACGTCAAAACATTAAATTTTGTTGATAGACGTTGAATTTAATTATACGGACGTCTGAGAAAAAATTGAATTGAAGTTCTATTTTTTGAAATTCATTTTTAATCCACGGAGCTATTTTCATATACACATTTTTATTGAGAAAAAAATTAAATTGCCAAATACATGTAATTTTAAATATTAAATGTATTTATTATATGATTGAATTCAGTGTAATTCCTTGGAAAAAATTATACATTATATTTATTCTAGGGATGTCAAAATTTTCAATAATTGATATTCGAATATTCGATAGGAGTATTCGAATATTCGATAAAATAAATACATTTTGCATTATAAAATATATATCTTCACTCTCCTGTCAAGCAGCATAGGTTTTATGCCATTATTTTAGAATAAAAACTCGTGTAGAGTTCGAAAAATGCACTCCAATAATATATATATATATTTTTAATTTATTCAGTAGTATACATCCTAAATGTTATGACTGATTTTTGAAAATTCAAAAGATTCTTTAATATATTCCAGATTTATTGATTGTCTTACTAAAGTCTTCACTGATAACTCCTACAAATTTATACCAAGCAGAACAATTATCTAACGGTGAAATATTAAAAGCAATTTAATTACTTTTTGCCAATTCTAATATCCTGATAATGATTTTAATGATATTTACATAAACAAGAAGTCCGTGTGTTTACTGTAACACTGGTTCCTTACAACAATACAAGCTGATTGTTAGTACTGGAAACTATTATACTACTAATTAGGTGAACAAATAAATAAATTACTCTAATATATACACTCTTCACGCCTGTAAGGCAATCCAAGAGGAGTGTTTTTAATATTGTACAAACTTGATTCAATTTCTATTAAAACTTGCTAGGTTTTTCTTTCTTTTTAATGCTTGCATATTTAAAAACAAATATTCGAATCACGAATTTATATTCGAATATCAACTCATCGAATGAATATTCGAATATTCGAATATTCGTTGACATCCCTAATATTTTCTTCTTCTTTTTCCAATACAGTACTAATCAGGAATTCTGATATTTCGACCTGGCGCATGGTGGTGCTAGGAAAACAAGGTGAATTAAAAAAAATAACTATTTACAGTGCAATAAAATAAATTGGTTGGTTCATGGTCGGATGATGTTGCTGGATGGCTTCGGTTTACAGCTATCTAGGGAGGTGGTTGTAACCAAGGATGTTGGTAGAAAGTTCCTCACTAGAATACCATCCGGGAAAAATTACCACGGTACACTGAGGTTCTGGCATAAGGAACCAGGAACATCACGCTGTTTCCCCAGGTTGTAGTTGCTGGAAGTAGGACTGTATACACTGTATATAGATCCAATGTAGTCTCGACTGTCTCAAACTTGATTAGAAACTGCAGCGTTATGATTTTACATATTTTAGTGTTTGACACTAAAATATAAAACCATAACGCTATCTGCAGCTAAAACTGGATGAACCTTGTCATTCTTGTCTTGCTGTCCAGAAAGAAAAAAATTCTCCAATATTACGTGTACGAGTTCCATAGTTTTTTTTTGCAATAACCTGCATAAGTATTCTCTACTTTACAAATTGCCCGTTATGCAGGTTATCCCAGGTTTCCAACTTTCGTCGATGCTCTTGCATCGCCCGCGAGGCGCACTGGTTAGAGCGTCTGCTCTAGAGTCGCGTGCCTATTTAATGATACCCCCCCCCCCCCCTCGGATTCAATGCGTATGTAATATAGAGTTCTTTTCTTATTATTGGTTAATCCCCCCTCCCCACTTTCAACAGGCAAATAATCAAAGAAGGGTAAGCAGTATATTGCGTTTGAAAAAAATGATAGAGAAAGAAATTCAATCATTAAATCCCCCCCCCCCCACATACACACACACACGAAATAGGATTTTCGGGTTTGGAAAATTTCAATTCTTCCTTCTTTATTTTATTTTATTTTATTTATTTATTTTTTTTTTTTTTGCGTGCCTTTTTTTCAGCTTCGAATTTTTTTTTTAGTCTTTCAATTAGCGCTCCTCCCCCCATTTTGCTTCCGACGCCAATATATTAGGATTGGTACTCGTTATAAACTTTTATTTTGCATTGTATTATATAACTATAATATTGATTAATTTTATTATAAATAATTATTTCATGAATCAATATATTCAGATATAAACCGAACATGTCTGATTACGTAAGAAGAGAATGAAATGGAAAACCCCCCAGATAAAACAGTATATTGACTGCGGGCTAAAAAAAGGGGGTCGGCTTCTTACACCATCCCCCCCCCCCCAAATATAAATCATAATTATCCTCTTGCTGTGGAACTTGTTCATTGGCCTGTAACCCTACTCTTTGTTTTGCGGGGTTGCAGTACAGTCAAGTATCATCCTTTCGTAGTATTTGTTTGTGTCCCCCCCCCCTTTTTTTTTATAGGAAATATGATTTATTAAGTTTTGATATGTTACCACTTATTTGTTTGTTACACAGGTACTTGTGGACAGGAACCCCCCCTCCCCCCATATATACACCCCTGGTCAAAATATTTTTTTTCTCTTTTTTTTTTGTCATGAATTATGTTCCTAGTACTTATTTACAACGTATTCCATGTGAAAAATTCAGAAAATTACATAGATTTAACTATTTACTGAAAAGTCATACTCTATTATTATAGGATAGAGAAGGTAAGTCACTTCGGTTTGTTAATTCGGACCCCTCTTGAATATCGGGCCTAAAATATCATTATACCTACTACATGTCACCAAAATATGTCATGATATCTTGTTTCGGTAGATATTTTCGTCTTTAATCGTGCCATTAGATTGCCCAGACATTCACCAGTTATCAGAGTATTCAGCGTCAAATGTGAAAAATTTGGAAATATCAAACCAGAAATTAGTGATCCAAAAACGACACCTAGCGGGTAACTTTCGAGTTCCGAGTGTCATAGAATGAAGGGAAAAGTCAGAGGACTACGAAAAAGTTCGGGAAAATTTTGATAAAAGAAGTCGAAATCGATTCATTAGAATTTAAATTTTGCTGCAGGCTTTCGAGATGAATTAGGGTACAATCATTAATATTATTTTTAGAGGATTTATAACTGATACCATAAAGCGTATTAAAAATCGCATGTAGACAATAAATAATATGTAACCCCCACTCTACAATAATTCCGATATCATTAATTTAATAATCTTATACAATGTTAATGATTGTACCCTAATTCATCTCGAAAGCCTGCAGCAAAATCTAATGAATCGATTCCTGTCCACAAGTATCTGTGGTTTGTTAATTTAAAAGATGTTTCTAGGTAAGTTTTCAAACAATTTATCTGGAAACCCCGTCCCTTCCTTTAAGAGTGTTAAATTGACATATTATACCATAATGTTAAGTATAATTTATATCAACGAACCTCATCCAAACCGTATCATAACTTCATCCAAACCGTCGTACACAGTTTTGTAAAAAATGTCATCCAAACATGTTACGTTGTTCTATAGCATGTTAACATCGGAACAGTTTCTTTGCATTAAATTCGTGGATTTATGGCAGAGCTACAGGTTAAATAATTACTTTTAAACACAGGCTGTCTCTTAGTTGTAAAATTACATACTACAGATTCCATTTATTAAGACTAAAACCTTTCGATGAGTCGAAGCGGTTGATTGACTCCGCCATTTTCACTGCATCCAAACATGTCACAACCGGTGTCGCATAATATTTGGTCCGCCTCGTTTAAAGGTCCGGCCGGACCAAATACGATAACATATTTGGTCCGCCTAGCTCTATAAGAAAAGGTCCGCCCTCGGCCTTTTATACAAATTGTATGCCTGTGTTCATTCGATATTAATTGAAAAAACTATTCTTTTAAAATTAATTAAGGATATATAGTCGTATTAATAGCTAGTGTTTTCTCCAAGAAAATGTAG